GCCATGGAAAGGTGGATAGTTTTCGGGACAGGCCAGCTTTTTTTTCAGTTTTTTACTAGAAGTAGAAACATACTGCTCATGGAACCAAAGACGCTCCTCAGAAAGAACACAGATCATCACGAAGACGACCCGTGCTATGACAAAGAAAAACTAAATCTAAACGCAACATCACCAGAGTCGCCTACTTGAATATGACATCCTGGAATAGAGGAGATCAATAAATCATTGTCGCGATGGAAAAGCGCAAGATAGACATCTGCGGGATTTCGAAAACGAAACGTAAAATACAAGGAACACACCCAACATAAGGTTGAAAAACTCATATTAATATAGAGCGGAAAGGTCAAGCATGAAAGAGCACAATCGGGCGTTGGCATTCTACTGCATGAGAAATATGCACAAAGCATCGGAGATATAATATACCTACGACAGATTATCGAAAATATCTCTGACACTGAACCAAACCACAATATCTCTTATAAGGGCGTACGCCCCGGATAGATCAAAATCTCTTGAAGACTCAGAGAAATTCTGCCGAGAACTTCATACCTTAGTAAGCAAAATCAGTAACCCCCATAAAATCGTAATATCTGGAGTGTTCAATGGTCGAATGGGAACACGATCCCACAAGGAATAAAGCAGAAATACAACGAGCACACCATCAATGAAAGCTTAGGTCTTCTAATCGATTTATGCGCAAGAATCGAGATGAGGATCAGTAATACATATTGCCCGCATAGAGATCAGCACAACTGTACCTTCAATAACTCTACGAAAATAAATCACCGATTTTACAATTACCACAAACAGAACAATCACACCATCGCAAGTACTCGATGTAAAATCACAAACTTCAGCCAACTTAGGGACAGACCACAATCTTATCCTGTGCAAGTTACTAATGGTGCAGCAAAGAATAATCAGGAAACCGCCAGTAAACATAGAAAAATATAACATGGAATCAATAGAATCAGACAGCACACGAAAGCTGTACGAAAACAGATTAATGCAAAAAATTAATAAGATTGACCTCACTGACCAAAATGTTGAAACATGCTGGAATGAAATAAAGGACTGCATTCACCAGGCGGCCGAATAATCCATTGGCAAAGAGAAAATCAACATTAATGCAAAAAACTCCACCAAACCATGGCTCTCTCATGAAGTGAACGACCTCGCAGAGAAAAAGCGCAAAAACTTTCTAACATTCAAGAACACCCTAATTTAGAAAAACACATCTAATATATACAAATCAGGCACAGAGTCAGCCCAAGAATCATCATCATTCAATATCAATCAGCCCCTTGCATCCACTGCTGGATATAGGCCTCCCCCATTTCTGCCCACTGTCCTCTATTTTTAGCGGCTCTGCATCCATCTTGCGGTTATTCTGTTAATATCGTCCGTCCATGGCGTCGGGGAGGTCTTCCCCTGATTCTCTTGTCAGCCCTTGGTCTCCACCAGAGCAGCCTTTTTATCCATACTCCGTTCGCCATGCGGGCCACATGTTCAGTCCAGCTCCATTTGAGCTTTGCGACCTGGTAGATAACATCCGTGACTCCTGTTCTTGCCCGTAAGTCGTCATTTGTAACGTGGTCGCAAAGTGATACACTAAATATCGATCTGTCCATCGATCTGACCATCGATCATAACACAACGCAAGATTGAAAGATGGAAAGACTCAAGAATCGAAGGGATCAAAAGGAAATATTAGGGCAAATTTAGAAGCGACATAGATCATGACCTATATGGTGCCCAAAGAACGGTCTGGAAGATGCTTAAAAACAGGAATAAATGCGTAGATGAATGCGTACAGGTTAAAGGAGCCGGAGGTATACCACAAGTGGCAGAAGGGTACCAGACAGCATCCAGCGCAACAGTTACCGAGATGTAAATAAGGGCAAGATTTAAAAACTTCTTCTTCTTGTTCTTCATTCTTGATTTTAGGCGAATCGCCTGTTCAATTATCGTTCACTTGTGTAACGCTGTCGCTCTCACCGGCCTCACGACGGTTTTGTAGATCGTCGATTTAGCAGCCCGCTATTCTAATTGCTTTTGTTGTTTAATCTTCCACCTCTGCCTCAATATCCCCAAAGCCCGAAAGTTCTATGCCAAGATAGTTAAATTTCATTTTCTGCTCGATTACTCTACCGTCAAGTATCAGTTTACATCTTAGAGGGGTTTTTGATGTTGTTAAGCATTTCGTTTAGGTGATATTTCCATATTTAGAGACTTGGCTGTCCGGTTGAATAAGTCTAACCTTTGTAAGTCATCTTCACTTTCTGCAATGAAAGCGGCATCGTCAGCATAACACACTATATTGATTTCTGCATCTCCCATTTTGTATCCCTTTAGCCCTCGAACACTTCGAGCAATTTTTTCCATTATTAAATTGAAAAGAGTAGGACTCCGGGAGTCTCCCTGTCGAATAGCGCTACCCGCTGGTATTGGTTCTGTGAGGTCTCTTTCTATTTGTGCTCGTAGTTTATTGTTTATATATTTGTTCTATATGGTTTTAATGAGATTGTGTGGGATTTGCCTGTTGTAAACGAGATGCAGGACGTCTTTCAGCTGGACACAGTCAAATGCTCTAGCTAACTAGAGCAATCATCAAAACTAATAAACGCTAGCTTGTTGTATTAGATCAACGTGCCATTGACACTTGCATCGGAATTAAAAAAATTAGAGAACAGAAAAGCTCCAGGTACGGACAAAATACCAAACGAGCTTCTAAAATACGGCGGTCCAGGGCTACTAGGGGAATCCCGAAGGACTGGCAAACCAGCATCACAATTCTCATATACAAAAGAGGGCAGGAAACAAATCCTGAAAACTATAGAGGAATACTACTTTGATCAACAACGAAGTTGTTTACAGAGTTGCTCAAGGATAAGCCAGAGAAACCAGAGAGAAAAATAAAATAACAATAAAAACATAATTCGAATAAACGATATTTGCAGAAAGTGAGTAGATAATAAACCCATGGAGCAGGTCATGCAATCTAGATTCCTGGGCATTTACATGACCAGCCCTCATTACCCAGTAAGGGACCTGATAAACCAAATTAACAAATCAGACATACTGTCAGGATGTCTAAGCGAAACGGTATGGGCGTAACCGTATGAGATGCGAGAGTAAAGATCAAAATATATAAGATATGCGACTGGACAATAATAACATCTGGTATAGAAGCGAGAGATGATACCACCAAGAGCAAAAGGGTGTTACGCGTCGCCAAAATGTTAGTACTGAGAGCAATAGCGGGGAAAACAAGAACAGACCACGTAAGAAACACTGAGATTAGAGCACAATGCGATGTATAGGATGTGGTGAGATGGTGAAGGCATAAGACCGACGATAGACTACCACGCATTGGACTAGAGGGAAAACTAGCAGGGACCTGTCCATCCAAAAAACACCGCAGGCAGTCCAAATCTAAGGAAATATTATTGCAGAAGCAAGCGTGGAATCAACAGATCATCTAGATCTCCGGTATTTATAAATAATATAATGGTTGCCGGAAAGATGAAGATGTTTTTATTGAACAGATTCCACTAAATCAGAAAGAACTTGACAACTCATTCAATTCAGTCATTAATTTCAAGAAGGTTTTGGAGAAGTGACCAACCAATAAAGTTAGTGATTGAAACATATTTGCTAGTCTAAAATAGAACAAATTGTCGAACGTCTTAAAGTTCAACATTTAATGCTGAACTAGGAAATAGTTTTTTTTCTAATTGACGCAAAATATCACAACACATTTAAATTTTAGTGGTTACCTGTTTGTTTTCTACCTAATTTCAAAGTGTTTTCTGTCTTAATAGAACTGTTCATTGGAAACTAGGCTGATGCACAATTAAAATTACCCTACTTCAGTAAAGTGGAATTTACCATTTATACGCCTTGGTGTTCGAACTTCGCACAAAACACAAAATAAAATGTTTGCGATTCCATTTTCTCACCAACTTTCTGACAGCCTAAATGGCCCGACGTTCTACAAAGCAGCTTAAAATAATATTTCGCCGATAAAGTTTTGACATTTAATTTTCAAAAGCTGTAAATAATGGCAAATAAAAAGGTCGGAAGCTGTCGGTGATAAGACGAATACCGAAATTTCCTTTTCAAAATCTAATTTAGAATTTATACCGGCTATGTGAATAGAATGAAGAAAAGAGGTCAGCCATTTTTAACTTTCCTGTCGATCTGCTTTCAAGTGATTACAAAGAGAAAAAGGTTCGTCTTTTTATTGTCTGGAAGACCGGAATAACCATTATATTGCTATTAATCAAGCGAGAAAGTATTCACATTTTTTGCTTAGTTTGCTCTTATAGATGTACAATGATTTATATGTACGACTAAATTAGCAGTGATGTTTTAATTAACGTTTATCTAAAAAATACTAAATTGACAAGATAATTCGTCGAGACTCGTTGTTAAGAGCAGAAAACACAAATTAAATTATTTGGATCTCATGCAATAATGCTGCTCACTCACTTATTGTTCTACTAATGTATTCACATCTTGAGAACCTAAAATCAACCCGAATTAGTACAGTAACAACAGTAAGTGGAGTGATATTCTCTGTACTCTATAGCATAAAATATTTGCTGTCAGAATAGCAAGCAAACCTTCTTGCTTTTGATGGATTACATGGGATTAAATTAACTTTGGCTGTGCTTAAATAAAGGAAGCTGAGTATTCTGAAAGAAATGAACTTTTGTATTTATCCAGTTCCCATTCCATATAGATTTATTACTCTTCCCTGAGATTCAAGCGCAATTTATCAATCAATGTCGACTGCAAGTTATGTCGTCTTTTAATTTAAAATAACATTTTCAAATATTGGTTTTAAATAGGTATAGATTTAAAATCAGAATTGGTGCCGTGGGTTGATGTGCTAATTTACTTGAACACAAACTATTAAGGCTGCTTAACCGATATATCTAATGAGTTTTGACCAATATGTTTGCGGTCTTACGAATATAACTTATTATTTATAGATATATGCCGCCAGTTACGCCTTCCACGTGGAAAACTACTAAGTTGGCTGATAGATTTGGTGCTGTGTGCCCTCAAAGACCTCCAGATATCGGCAACCGCTCTGAAGCACTTCTAGAATTTCCGCGCGGGCGGCTACTTTATCTCGAGAAACTGCTTCCACTTCTGGCAAATCAGAGCGAAGATTGTTTGTATCTCAACATCTACGTACCACGAGCAGGTAAGAATTTCATCCCTAATTTGAAGCTATTTCTATGAGTGTATAATTAAGAATCAAATTCATTCCTGGGTTTCAGTCATTTATTGTCTCTATTTATTAATCCAAATCCGTTTCGGTGTATTTTTCTGCCATCATCAGTTTTTCTAAAATAACAGATAGTTAAAAAAAAATTCGTTAATTTAAAAAACAACCACAGTTCGTCAACAGCCTCATCATATCACACATTAAAATACATCACAATTGCAATCCTTTAAAACATTCTAAAATTAATTAGGCCTAACAGGTGACTAGGTAGGACAATCAAATTTGGGAAGGGACTAGAATTCTTCGTTCAGATACTTAATTATTTTTACTTACATGTGTAGCGTTATTGCTGCTTTAAGCCTTGGCATGCATTTGGAGTATTAATTTTGTCCATTATCGGACACAAAACGAATAAAATTCTGTTTATATTGATTTCTTTTACTTTCAGCTATTTTTCTTTGCATTCTGAGGATATTATTTTTGGTTTGCATGGCAGAACAAACAAATGTAACGTAAATAAAAATTGCTTAAATAATTTGACTTCACTAAACATACCGAATAACGTAGAATACATCTTATCGCTTGGACCAAGGTTCTCCATAAATAAGTCTCACTATGGTCCAATTTCAGAAATCAAAGCAAGCATTGAAGATGGAATCTTCTCATTAAATAATGTGTCAAAGAACGAGATCAGAAATAAATTGTGTAACATCTTAACAAATTTCAAAGGTTAAATAAAACAAAACGCAACTAAAAATATGGCATGTCATGTTAATGGACTGATAAATGAAACTTTATGTATGAACACACAAACATTTGCATACTAACAGAAGATATATGAACGAAGAATTCTAGTCTCTTCCCAAATTTGATTCTCCTGACTGTTATCACTGACTGTTAATCACCTGTTAGGCCTAATTAATTTTTGAATGTTTTAAAGTATTGCAATTGTGATGTATTTTAATGTGTGATATGATGAGGCTGATGACGAACTGTGGTTGTTTTTTAAATTAATGAAATTTTTTTTAACTATCTGTTATTTTAGAAAAACTGATGATGGTGGAAAAATAAACCGAAACGTATTTTGATTATTAAATAGAGACAATAAATGACTGAAACCCAGGAACGAATTTGATTTGGAATTGAAACACAGTAAGGAAAGTATATACAATGTATAATTAAGTACCATAATCAGTGGCGCAAATTAAACGCACTCCCTCACTTTTGACTGTCAATATTTTCTCAATCGGTAATCCGATTGGAACAATTTCTTATTAAATCAAACTTGTATTCTTGAGCAAAATTTAAGTCATAAGATGGGAAAAAACATGTGATACACAAATTGTACAGGGTGTTTGAATAGGGTCTTGTTTCTCCTCTGTTAAGCTTAAATCTGTCGGTAATTTTGTTCGAGCATTTTTTTCATCAAATCGTAACTATTTTTTGGACAAAATTTGAGTTAAAGTATAAGCAGAAAAATTAAATAACAAATCGTGCGGAGTGATTAAATATCATTTAGTCTACTTCTGAGTCATTTGGATCTTGAAGCCTCGGTTTATCCGGCCTTCGAGCCGGGCTTCGGCCAGCGATAAATCGCCACACCTGGTCACTCTGATCACCCACTCCGAGT